CCGCCACAATGCCCAGCTATTTTGTTGTTGTTGTTGTTGTTGTTGTTATTGTAGTTGTCATTGTTGTTTAGCAGGCCCAGGCTCGGTTCAAACCCACAGCCCCAGTATATGTGGCTGGTGCCATAACTGCTAACCTACAGGCACTGAGCCCAGAATATGTTTAATATTCAATATTTAAAAGTAATAAATGTACTAACCTAGTTAAAGCTACTGTCACAAACTACACGTATTTATATTTATATATTTATACTTAATAGGAGACATCACTGAATAAGGAAAAGATCGTTCAATGGCAGTGATTTTCAAAAATACAAAATAAAGGGGTGGCACCTGTGGCTCAGTGAGTAGGGCACTGGCCCTATATACCAAGGGTGGCAGATTCAAACCCAGTCCCAGCCAAACTGCAACAAAAAATAGCTAGGTGTTGTGGCGAGTGCCTGTAGTCCCAGCTACTTGGAAGGCTGAGGCAGGTGAATCACCTAAGCCTAAGAACTGGAGGTTGCTATGAACTGTGATGCCACTGCACTCTACCAAGGGTGACAAAGTGAGACTCTGTCTCTAAAAAAAACAAAAAAAACAAAAAAACAAAATGAAGGAAAGTTCACTAATACTATAAACCTAAAACCCAAAAAACTGTGGCTCTCAAACTGTGGCTCTTTGTTTATAAAAAAACAAATAGAAGCAATAATGCACTACACCTCTATCTTTCTTAGACTATCAAATATGTTTTTTCAAAAATCAAAAATGTAAATTTTTTTTTTTTTGAGACCGAGTCTCTCTTTTTCACCCTTGGTAGAGTGCCATGGCATCATAGCTCATAGTAAACTCAAATTCTTGGGGGCTCATTGTGACCACCACAATGCCCAGCTACTTCTAGAGACAAGGTCTCCCTCTTGCTCAGACTGATCTCCATCTCCTGAGCTCAGGCAATCCACCCGACTCAGCCTCCCAGAATGCTAGGATTACTGGTGTAAGCCACCATGAGCAGCCAAAAGGCAAAACTGTAAAGATTTCACCAGAGGTCAAACTGAAAATAACATGACAGGGTGGCGCCTATGGCTCAAAGGAGTAAGGTGCCAGCCCCATATGCCGGAGGTGGCAGGTTCAAACCCAGCCCTGGCCAGAAACTGCAAAAAAAAAAAAAAAAAGACTGAAAATAACATGATTGAGACTGATTGGGCAGATTTAGTTTCTTAGAAACCTTAAGTTCATACTAAGTTGTATACATAAGGTCAACCTTTCAAGCTCACAAAATATGTGAAAGTCATCCAAATCATTAAAATCACAAAGATTTTATTCCTTTATTTCCTATAGTAATAAACTATTTTATATAATTTAAATTAAAATTTAATGTACTTTAAAGGCAGAAAATCATATTATTACAGAATTTTTAAATGAAATATTTTAATTTTATATCCTTTACTATATATCAAAAAATGAATCTATATGAAACTATTAACTTACAACTATCCAAAACCCCTTTGGTGGGAAGAAATAAACCTTATTTTAACACAACTGGACGCTGTTACTGTTTATTGATGGAAAAACTGATACAAACTAAGCAAATTTTAGTGTATACATAAATGACTAAAATCTTACCTGACACTCTCTTGCAACAAAAAATAAATTTTTTTAAATGTCCATACTGAAAGTAAATCAATATTTCCCCACCAGCAAGCAATAGGAATTTTATTTAGTGGCTATTTGGAATGTTTACACTGAAAATAATATAACTAACAAGTCCATTCAGAAATCAATGCTAGTGAAAACTGTATATTTCAAAAAATAATACAACACCAAGAAATGATTCTGTATCTAGTTATTTTGAAAATCTTTTTCTTTTTACTACAAACTTATGCTATACCATAAATCTCAATTCCCATTATATGAAACATTTCCCCCTAAAAAAAAAATCATTCATAAAACAAACTTATTTACTTTTAAGAAGAGAAAAAAAAAGAAAACACTAAGAAATTTACCCTAGTTCAAGAGGAAGCAAGGCAAAGAGTTTTGTGATTTTTAAAATCAAATATGAACTTCATTTGTACCTGGTAAAAATGTCGTTATAACTTTTGACATTTCCTCCACAATTTCCTGACGGACTCTGAGGTCATCATCTGTTATTCCTTGTTCTTTTGCTAATTCAATAACTGCAACACTTAAAGCAGCCAAGTGAGCAGGAGAGGGAGGTGGCAGAGAGCGAAGCTCACTTTCTTCCTGCTTTTCCTATTAGTGTTAACATTTCACAAGAACAAAAAAAAAATTCTATTTTAATATCCTTACATTTAGCAGGGAAGGACATAAATTAACTCAGCAAATATTCACCTTCTGTGCACCAGATAAGCCACCTATGATAAGTAAACAAAAAAGACTGAGACCTCTGCCTTTCAGCTGAAAACTTTGTTGAACCCAGGCAGACTATCTTAGATGTAGCAAAAATCTTAAATCATAACAGCACATACAGTATTAGATTAAATGGTCCCAGGAAGACTTCCTGGACTCTATCAACACATTGCCTAGTATTTACAACATTATTTCTCTGTTATTTTATCCAACAGTAGCTCAACAAAATGCTCAACAAATTATTCTGCTAAAAGACTAAAAGTCAATTTAAACCAAGGAGATAAAAAGGGGCCATGTTACATATGCATGATGACCTTTATAAATAATTTTTCTGATTATAAAAAATGCTATTTACAAGGCCAGGAGTAGTGGCTCATGACTATAATCCTAGCTCTCTGGGAGGCCAAGGAGGGTGGATTGATTGCTTGAGCTCAGGAGTTTGAGACAAGCCTGAGTAAGAGTGAAACCCTGTCTCTACTAAAAATAGAAAAGCTAGCTGGGCATTATGGCAGGTGCCTGTAGTCCCAGCTACTCAGGAGGCTGAGGCAAGAGGATCACTTGAACCAAAGAGTTTGAGGTTGCTGTGGCTATGACGACACCACACTCTAACCAAGGGTTAAGTCAAACTCATTTCTATAAATTTCTGTGACCATTTCTGGGATTCTTAATTATACTTTAAATCTTGAAAGAGCATCTAAGTTTTGAGACTATTTTTTTAGGAATCATCTAACAGATTAACAGCAACAGACAAGGAAAAAACATTAAGAGATCAAGCTACAAAATTATCTTTATATACATGAAAGTACCACAAAATGTTCTGAATTATACTGCTAAGATTTTCATGGAAATAAGAATATAAAAGACAAGCCCACCTAAACTATTAATAATCTATCATACTTCCCTTAAGATATTGTTCCATCAAACATTCTCACTGATATCCTCATGTCCTCCTGACATCCTCCTTCGTCACAAATATTATCAATCAAGGGCTGGGTGCAGTGGCTCACGCCTATAATCTCACCACTCTGAGAGGCCAAAGCAGATGGATCGCCTGAGTTCAGGAGTTCCAGACAAACCTGAGCAAGAGTGAGACCCCGTCTTTAAAAAATATAGCAGGGCATTGTGGTGGGCACCTGTAGTCACAGCTACTTGGGAGGCTGAGGCAAGAGGATCACTCAAGCCCAAGGGACTGGGGTTGCTCTGAGTGATGACACCATCACACTCTACCATGGGAGACAAAGTGAGACTCTTGTCTCAAAACAAAACAGGCTCAACACCTGTAGCTCAATGGTTAGAACATCGGCCACATATACTAGGGCTAGAGGGTTCGAACCTGGCCCGGGCCTGCTAAACAACAATGACAACAACAATAACAGATAATAGCTGGGCATTGTAGCGAGCACCTGTAGTCCCAGCTACTTGGAGGCTGAGACAAGAGAAGTGTATAAGCCCAAGAGTTTGAGGTTGCTGTGAGTTGTGATGCCATAACACTCTACCGAGAGTGACACAGTAAGATGCTGTCTCAAAAATAAATAAAAATAAAACAAATTATTACCAATCAAGTTCCTGCCTTCAATAACTTAAATTCTAATTAGAGGAAATAGACAACATACATCATGTTAGATGAATGCTATGAAGACTAATAAAATTGGGGAAAAGGCTACAGAATGATAAGAAAAGGGCATTGTTTTTTGTTTTTCTATTTTTAATTTCTTTTTTTGCAGTTTTTGGTTGGGGCTGGGTTTGTGGGTTTGAATCCCGCCACCTCCGGCATTTAGGGCCGGCACCCTACTCCTTTGAGCCACAGGGGCCGCCCATCTATTTTTAAATTTCTTTCCTTTAGCTTTGCATGAACAATTTTCTTTTTTTAAAGACAAAGTCTTGCTCTGTTGCCCAGACTGGAGTACATAGCATGACCATAGTCCACCGTAACTGCAAACCTTAGGCTTAACCAATCCTCCTGCCTCAGGCTCCTGAGTAACTGGGATTCCAGGAGTAAACCACTCACCTGGCTAATTTTTTTTTTTTTTATTTTCTATATAAATGAGGTCTTGCTATGTTGTCCATACTAGCCTCAAACTCTTGGCCTCAAGCAATCCTCCCACCTCAACATCCAAAAGTGCATTATTTTAGAATAAGGTGGACAAAGAAGTCGACTCTGAACAGGTTACTTTTAATCAGAGATGTGAATGAAGTGAAGAAGAGAGACATTTAAATTAAGAGTGTTCCAGACAGAGAGAATAGCAAATGCAAAGACTCTCACGCAAAAAGTCCCTCCTGTTACCTATATACCTGGTGGCTATAGCTAAAAGGGGTAACTATGGATGATGATATGATTGAAAAGTTACTTAGAAATAAAATATTGTATCACCTAATAAGACTTGGTAAAGGCTTAGAACTTTATTCTAAGTTGAAAAGACACTAAAGGGGTAAGAGAAGGAAATAACATGATACAACATATTTTAAAAGAACAATCCTAGTTCCTACATTGAGAACATTCTATAAGGACCAGAGAGGGAGGTTAAGTTAGAAACAGTCCAGGTGAAGCCAGGCGCAGTGGCTCACACTTGTAATCCTAGCACTCTGGGAGGCCAAGGCGGGCAGACTGCTTGAGCTCACAAGTTCAAGACCAGCCTGAGCAAAAGCAAGACCTCATCTCTACTAAAAATAGAAAAACTGAGGCAAGAAGATCGCTTAAGCCCAAGAGTTGGAGGTTGCTGTGAGCTATGACACCACACTGGGCACTCTGCCCAGGGCAACAGCTTGAGATACTGTCTCAAATAAACAAACAAACAAACAAAAAAAGGCCCAGTTTGAGAGGTGACAGTAGCTTAAACTAAAGCAAGAAGTAGATGTATGCAACGAATGCTTAAGTTTAGAAAATAGGCATACTAAAGTTAAAATCTATAGAATTTACTGATGGTTTAAATGTGAAATATAAGACAAAGAGATGAATCAAGGATGACATAAAGGTCTTTGTCCTACCAGCTAGGTGAATGATGGTGCCTTCTACTGAGATGAAGCAAATTCCAGAATGAATTAGTTTAGGCTACGAAAATTTGTCCAAGAAGCAAGAGACTCCTAATTAATCCCCATTTCCAACCTTTGGCTCTTCATCCTATTTTCCATATTGTCACTCCTACTAAAAAACTCTCAATAAATCCTTAACAAAATACTAGCAAAGTTGGGTGGCACCTGTGGCTCAGTGAGTAGGGCGCTGGCC